GTAAAATCATCAAGTTTTGAAAAAGTATTGCAATTTAATTTTGTCTTTAATGTTATTATCTTATATATATTATCTTTGTAATATGATTATCTTATATAATGTTATTACTATCCTAAACCATTCTCCAGGTCCTCTGAAACTCTGCAGGACTTATTTCCACCCTGCCCAGCAGTGGTACCGTCAACGGTCCCTAACTGCGGGGAGAATGGAGCAGGCTTCCCCGGAGGTCCACCGCTTTTCCCGGTCCCTCGTCTCCACCACTCTTTGACTTATTTCCACCCTGCCGACAGTGGGAGTTATATTCATTGTGCCGACAGTGGCTTGGAAAACCGCCCATAACCTTGTCACACGGGGAAGAGGGAAGAGGGAAGGTGGCTGGAGTTCCTCCAACATTTGCGGTTAGATTATCATATTTTTTTATTGACAAAAATATAGGCTGCTTCGGCTGTTTTTTTTATGCGCACATGTGCCCCTAAATATTTTTTACAGTTCGCACTCACTTATTTTTAGTCGCAAATGCGGGTGAAACGCTCGCACTGTCAAGCTCTGTGTGGTATGCTGTATTGTCCTGTTGGGCGGGGGGGCACTGCAATCTGGGATTGCACTTGGCCTGTAATGGCGTTAAGATGGGTGGTGCCTGTAAAGTGCCATCCACATAATTGCCAGGACCCAAGTTTCCCAGCAGATGATTGCACTGATATGAAGTAATTATTATTCACCTTGTCCATCAGTGGTTTTAATGTTGTTACTAATTGGTGTGTGTATCAATGTTTTTACCGTACATCAATTATATTGGCCAGGCATTGTAACCATCACAACTCTGACTAATTGCGAGAAGATGTCTGGGTGAGTTATTGTAAACTTCAATGTGGGAGAAGTGCAAAACATATATCACAATATACATCATGAATATTTATAATGACAATAATCCCTGCAAGTGGACTGGTATATCTCAGGGATCGCCACTAAATTTTGCTTCTCAGTTTTTGTCTATAAATGTGTAAATAACCAGTTCTGCCCCAATAAAAACACATTTCGCTTTGATCAGCTTTTCCTTTTTCATAAAGTACAATTCTTCATTATCTAATGAAAATATGCCCATAATTAATACACTCAATGATTAGATTCAGGATTTAATTAAGATACAGCACACTGATTGAGTACCTTTCAAGAGCAAGTAGTTACCACTGCCTTAATCTCCTCCGCCATCTAAGTACTATACCATCTTTTCCCACTACAATCAGCTGTCATTTATGCAGACTTATGGATGTGTTGAAAACACGGCTGTTGACTCTAATAGAAATGTATAAGCACTTAAGCATGTGCACACATCCCAAGTGTAGACACCTTCACAGCAAACAGTCAGACACATGAACACATCCTAACTATATTCTCAGCACGATTCCACAAACACTCGTTAATCACCTGTGTTCCTGGTTGCAGTGATGTCCCGATCCTCTGCACTGTCACTCGCTTCATGGGGAGGCCTGCATTAAAGAGAAGAGACAGGAAATAGGAATCTGTTCAACCAAGGCGTATTCGCAAATTAGAGTCTCTTGCATCTATGCAGAAACTGGCTAAGACATTCATTGCCGAAAATAAGGTTGTAAATGAAGGAAGGATATGGAGCGGAAGATGCAGAGAAATGGGTAAATACATTGAAATCAAAAGGACCGTTTTATTTATTAAGCTACATTTACAATTTGATTTGGTCCCAAATACAAAAAGGCTTTAAGAATGGGGTGGATTGAACATGCGAGTATCATAGCTCTGACAACTGTCCTTGTTGTGGTATCTGGTGGTATCTAATAGCGTCTGTTAGTCAAGCATCGAGCAATTTCTAACTTCCTCTCACTGTCCAGACCTGCAAGTCATTTGTCTCGTAGCGTTTGTAACACACAGCTATTCAGCTTCACCTCAGAAAAGATCTGTGGCACAATTGATGGATTCTGTCGAAGAGGACAGTACCAATCTTTATTCATCATATGCAGGTTAAAAGGCAAATCAATCTGTGTCTGTCCTGTTTAAATGAGAAGAAATACTCAATTAAACAAAGACAAACATGCTCCATGCTTGACAAAAGCTTACGACAGGAATCCTCTGTTCTTATGAGGTCATTAAACTGGAAAAAGATACAACCTGCCGAGACATATAAATTTCACATCCAGCCATAAAGTAAAGACAGACATTTCTTCTGAGATCTCTGTCTCTCCCTCTGAGAAATAGGGCACAGGGGTGATATTATACATTGGTGTCATTCTGTTGCTCAGGGCCCATAACAGTGTGATAACCAGGGACCTAAGGGCCCTCACCGCTGATGGAAAATAGATTATATCACTTGAAATGGGGAAATTTTCCCAATATGCACACGTACCTATATACACATCCAACAAACATGAACACCCACACTCACACAAAAAAGAAATCCCTCCACATCCTCAGTAATTCATCTTCTTCTGACTGTTGTCGGATACTGCACTCTGATGACCTTCCAGTCAGCCCTTTAAAATACAGCGCACATAATTTAAGCCTGTCACATGTAAAACATATTCTCCCATCTATTCTTACACTTGTGGGTATCTCAGGAACAGAGATTGGCTGTAAAATGCCAATCATATTGTAGGAGCGCAGTGTTCCAGCCCCCTAATGGACGACGCTCTTTTTATCACCACTGACAAAAAGTTCTATTTTTAGGACGACCTCCTGCTTCAATCTCAAAGGGACACAAAAGGCACATTTCAGAGAAAGAGTCACAGAACCACAGCTTGATTTTGCTGTTGACTGCAGAGATTCATGTGCACACCAAAGCACAGCCTGTTCATCTAATACAGAACTTAAACCACACCGGTTTGCCCTACAGTATTAAATGGTAATACGTGCCCCAAAGGGAACGTCATCAGTCTGAACTACGGAAATCGGCCCAAGCAGGCCCAGATAGAGTTGCACTAAGACCAGCGCCGCAAGCTGCTCCTAGGCCAATTGGTGTGATTGAAGTGAGGGTACTATCCAATCGGCACATGGAATGAGACACACCTGAGCCCAATCCCCTGATGACAAGCCTTACAACAAATGAATTCATACAGTGATCCAGGTCTATTAGCAAGCTCGTGATCTCGATCATTTGGTGGAAGGTGGTCATAAAAAGCCTTCCTAACTGTCTTAGGTCAGTCTTTTCCTCATTTTGACATTCTGACATAATCAAACATATTTAATAATATAATAAGTGTTTAGTCTTGGCTTGTGCAAATACTGAAATTCAATGACATGAACACTGTCAACAACAAATAGCTGCACTCTCTCCATCATTTAACAAGAAGCAGCAGACCGGGTAGACATGAGGGGACCCCGGGGAGGCACAAGAACTTTAACAAGTCTTGGTTCTCTTGGACTGTGGAAAACAAAGAGAGACTTGTGGAGTTGTGGAGAGAACAAGTCTGTGTTTAATTCAGCACGTATCTGATCCACCAACTGGCACTTATTGTAGTGAGAAATCTTAAATTTTGAAATGGTCCTCTCATAACCATGGTCTTCTCCCACTCAGCTAACCAACAGAGTCTGGCAGCAAATTGAGGCCAAAACATAAAGTTTGTATGCAAATACAGTTTGATTGTCGACATATGACACCTTTGATCTTGTGTTTCGAGAGTTATGAGCTTTTGTGGATATGTAAGGGATAATTCTTAATATGTGATATTTCTCAAAGTGAATTTGGTGTAACATTTTCTAACAAGAGCAGGATGGGAAATAACGTCTCAAGGAATCTGGTTGTAGTCTTGAAAATAAAGACCCTGCAAGACCCCAAACCTAGGTTGTCTTTAGATATGAGATAGTGTCAAGTTTTAGTCTTTTAAAAGAAGCCTATTTTCAAAGTCTTTTCAAAGTCCTCTAGTGTTACTTTGAGAAACAACCAGCCAGCAAGTTGGACCAGACTCTCCAACTCTCTTCCCCTGGCATATGATTTGCTTTCCTGCCTTTAAGGTGGTTAAAGGGACCACCCAGCTCAGAACACAAAGAATTACAATTAGTTTTCTTTGCAGACTTTTTCTCCAGGTACTTTCTATATTGTGAATATGGGCTGTTTCCCCTCTAGTTGTCCTCAAATCTGTCACTTCACTAAGCAAAAAATAGCCGTAGACATGGTCAATGTAAGGCAATTTTCCAGTGTGCCTCCGTCTAAAATCTTATTTTTGTGGTAAGCTGTGGCCCAAGGGCATCAACATATGCTCTTTATTTCACTTTTTCCCCCTTGACAGAAAATATAAAAATACTGTGGATCTCATGACATGCTGAGGTCTCATGACATCCGCCTGTCAAAAGAACACACTTGCTTACTTGGCACCTTGTAAGCATTATACTAGAGCTAATTTAAGGTGGAAAAAAATCACGTAGTAATGAGAAAAAAGAAAAAAAAAAGTTAAAATATAGTAGTTTCTGTCACCAGCTGGCTCTCTAGTCGAATCTCACACCATTCCTGCTCTCAGCAGCAACTCCTCCACTCTTTCAAGCCTCTCCTCCTGCTGTCACTTCAGCTCACCTTGCAAGTTCTCTGCTAGCTGGAGTTAACTTGCAAAAAGGAGAAATCAGAGTCAGCACAGCGCCCAAAGCGTCTCCACATCTCCTGACGAGAAGTCCATTTCTAACCTCTCAACACGGAAAACACTGCATCCCTGCCAGATCTCTCTCCCTCTCTGTCTGTCTTTCCCCCTCACCATATCCCTTCCTGTCTCTGCTCTTTGAAGTATATAAAACAGATTACTAACTTGGCAACTTAATTTTCCCAATCGTATCATATACTAAGCCTTGAGCTATGCATAATTTTCATAATGCACAATTTCACACTTAAAACTCCAGATGAACCTTAAACCAAAGTTGACCAAAACTGTTTGTAGTTTTAGGATGTGCATACAATTAAGCCCAAAGTGCATCAACTTTATTTCTGATGCAGTTTCCTGTATCAGCCACAAATATTTCCTTACCAAGTTTCAGCTTTGTTCAGGTCACAGCACATAATGTGTACGAGCCTGTTGACACTGCGGTTTGGTGATCTGAATACAATGGACAGCTGAGAAGCTTGCAATTCACCCATGTCAATCATGTCAAGCACTAGTGTCCAGATATGGTTACTGCCTAGGTCACTTAACGTTGAACATCAAAGGGCCCCGTGCACAGCTATTATGTCCACACTCTCACTAGCTGCTCACTAGTTACATCAGCAGTTGTGTCGGTGCAGCTGGAGATATTGCTGTCAGAAAAATTCAATAATTTCCCACATCTCCTTCCATCAGGCAAAGCGATAGACATTCACGCAACACTACACCCAACTCATTGTAAAATGGACAAGCTATATAGCATTAGCGCAATGTCACCAAAACAACCACCATGTCCTGCATCAATGGCGTGGTCCATGTCGAGGACACATCCTGACGCATTAGCGCTTACACTACAAAAGATATTCCGTCAAATGCATCCCTGACCACCTCAGAAAGTGGTTTGAGTGATCAGATCACACTGAAACTGGCCATTCATTTACACTTGTAGTGAACGCTGTCCACTTGTGATCGGATCATCTAAGACACATGTTAATACCAGGTATAAACAAGGCTTATTTGTTTTTTTTGTCCGTTTACAGGGGAATAGCTTGGGAGGTAAGAGGAGAACATAAAAAATATTTTTATCTGCAAAACAGGGGCCTGATAGAAAAAAGACGTTTGAGATCCACTGACCTAACATTAGGTATACCTGAGCATACATACTGGACTCACAGCAGCAATCTTCTTGTCACACAGAAAAGTTGGTGGAATCAAAGTTTGTGTCCTCATGCTGGAGGATTTTCTTTAGTCTTAGTGACAACACAAGAGCTCTCTCTTTCACACACACCATGATTCACACCCCATTTCATTATCTCCCAAAGGAGTTGTTAGACAGATAATGAAGTCAGCAGTCGCGGGGATAACTAGAGGTTCTTCAGTGTAAACAAGTCACTGTCACTTCTGCTTTAGCATTCACTTTATTCCATCAAGGATGTCCTCTAAAGCAGTCTGCAGGCTATACAGTTGGCAAGGTACAACAACTTGAAAATCTGCTTCACTTCAATTGGGGCAATTGACAAGGGAGAAACAGTGAAGAGCAGCGTAAGAGTGGCCACACCAAACACACTAAGACAGTATTTGCGGAGAGAAAGAGAGACATCTGGCATCCATTCAAAGTCTGAGTGTATTTTAAGAAATGAAAGGTCAATAAGTCTCCCACAGTCATCCAAGGCAAACAACAGATCTGTTCTCAGAGACTAGAGTCCACAGTGACTATACCAACAAATATCACAGGAGGTGCAGTTGGAAAATTAACTTCCACAGTTGGTCACCACAACCTTTACTGCAGCACTTGCTTTCAGTTATCTCCCTCCTTCACTTTTACTGGATATGAGGCTGAACCAGAAGGCAACAGAGGACTCACTGCCTCCATGTGCTTGTAACAAGCCAACAAATTAGCAGCAAATACATCACTTAGAGGTGACACTAAGAGAAGCCAGCAGAGAAAGAAGCGGGCCAGGAGATCAAACGAACTGGCAGGCACACAGAGATTAGTTTTCTAAAGTTAAAGACTGGAAGAAATTTTAGTGAAACCGAGCCCTGGTTTGCTTCGTCTGTTTGTTTCTGCTCTTGCACAGCAACCCTCTGTGAGAACTTTCCATCTCAGGCTAATTGTTCACAGTCAAAAATGATTAGTTTTAGACACAAAACACCAGACTGTCAAACAAACTGCAGGTGGGGTTAAATATACGCCTGCCAACAGCTGCTGGAACTGTTGGAGAACATCCTTGCTTGTCAAAATGGCAACCTGCTTGAATGGGGAAGTTACTAGTTCACCAGCATTATAGGGACCTAATTAAGTGGAGTGCACATCTGACAATGTTGCCTTGTGTCGAAATACGGTAACAAAAGAAATGCCAGTGGAGGAAAAACAAAATATCAAAAAGAAATCTATAAAGAATGTGGCTTTTGCCTTCCTCTTCCTTAGGTTCCAGCTGAGACGCATCTAGTAGGTGACATACTGTTTAAGGTACGAATACGAAAGCTTTGTAAAAACACAAGACAAACAATTTCATTAGTCCCAAAGCTGTGAAATGATCACATTCTGACTAACACAAACCCACACACTCATTCACACCACACACTTGTGCCCACAGCTCTCAAAAACTATTCTTATAACTGCCATTGTCGTCCAAATTAACCATCCTTCTGTATCAATCAGCCTCTCTCTCATAATGTAATCTACTGCTGCAGCTGCCTTTACCATCACAGCATCTCTCTCTTCCTCTGTTTCCATCAGTCTGCCTCAATCCAAGATAGGTTGGAGAGCGGCCCAACAGGGTGTAAATTGATGCCTCACCCCCCATCTCCTTTGCTGATTGGACTCCAGCTCTTCAAAGATGAGCACCTTCCTAGCAGCTTGGCTGGGGCTGCCATGGCTGGTGTGGTGGGATTATGGTGATTATTCTGTGGCACTGGCAGCCGGTGGCAACTGATAGCCTGGTTGACTCACCGCCTCGCAGTTAGACATGTGGCTAAGATTAGGGAATTGTTTTGCAGGTAAAATTTTTACAAATTTCTCATTGGAGAGGGACGAGAAGTCAAACTGATTTAGAACCTCACATTATTTCTCATAATTCCTCGTTTCACTGTTCTAATTTTAAACATTGTGAGCGAGCAAGCAACATCTGTTCTCACATTGTCTTGGGTTGCATGATTTTAGATGGAAGAAGAAACACTATTTTACAAGGAGAAGGCAATATGGAGAAACTTAAATTTCAAAGTATTTTTGGCCAAATATTTTGATATCAATATTGTGGGGCTGACTGCTGCTGCTTTCACAAAATATTTGCACAGTGAGACTTTTGATACATAATTATCAGTAATGTGAATATAATGACTAACTGGGTAAAAGCAAATGATAAAACAACCAGAGCAGTCTGATAAATTCAGAAAATTGCATAATTTTATTTTAATGCAGCCTTAAAACCAGGAAAAGATTACACTTACAATATTACCACATCCAAAATCTAAGACGATATCTAGTCCCATTGTATGATATCCATATATTACCCAGTCCTATCCACAAGAAAGCTGGACTCGCAATGTATCCTTAGGGCCCAGACACACTGGGGGGCTTTTGCCTTTAATTGACAGTAAAGAGTGAAATGGGGGAGTGAGAGAGAGTGGGGAGATGACATGCAGCAAATGGTTGCGAGCCGGAGTCGAACCAGCGACCACTGCAGCGAGGCACCATCTCCGCACATGGGGCGCCAGCACCACCCACCACGCCACCAATGCCCCAGGAAAAAAGAGATTTTAAAGGCTACAGTAGAATGCTTTTTAAACTCCGTTTCCGTTTCGTTTGCCTGTAGCGTGCGTATGCGTAATGACATGAGGCATTACGTGGTATCAGACTGGTCATAGGCTGTACTTGCCAATACCTCGGAGGCATTTCCGATACTGGGATCGGTATCAGTACAGCTCTATCAATAACACAACCACATGTCAAATGAACAAAGCAAATTTCCTGTTAACCAGTGAAATGACACAAACAATTACGAACTAATTCTGCTAAACAGCACAATAACCAAAAAAAAATCATACCTAAAATAACACGTTACACACGTCAAATCTCATGCCCTCTTAAATTTAGCCATTTGTTTGCTTTCCTTACTTCTGCTTCTCTTATCTTCCACTGAGATGATCTGCCAATCAGAGTGATTTCACTCACACACAGGCTCCGCCATCTCCAAAGGCAATTCAACATACTAAATCACACAGTGCACAGTGCCGGACACACTGCAAATACCAGGGCAACAGACATTCACTGACGGCCCAACATTGACCCATGGCGGACCGTCGGCTTGGTGTGTTAGGGCCTTTAGGTACAAAGTTTCGATGTAGTTTTGGCTTGCCAGTCATATTTGGTTTCAGTTTTGCGGCTTCCAGGTCATTCAGTGTTGTCAGATCGTAGGATGGGGTACATTTGGATAGGATAGATTGGATGAACAGGACAGGAACATACAAAATGACCTAACCATTGTCTTTGTCTGGCCTATCATTATCACCATCTTTATTATAGCACATGCCACATTAAACTGATTGTAAAACTGAGCCCTCATTTCCACTGACCCTCTCGGCCTGCTGTTTCTGTGAAGTGGCTTGATTAACGAAGGAGGGAACAGGTTTTTCACTCTGTTGTGTGTGTTTGTTAGAGGTCAGAGGGTCATACTCTCGCACTGGGGCCCAAAGAGCGATTACCTGCTCGTGTCATCTGCTGAAATCATTTATAATAGCATGAAATGTTATCAAAGTAAGCTGCATGTGCTGTAACTTTTCCTGCAATCCTGAGCTGACCTCAGTTAAAGATGCATGTGTACATCCTTTAAAGCTCTTGCAATTGAGCACATACAGTACATTCTGAATGTATAAATAGATTTAAGTGGACTGTTATTTTGTGTCTGCATCCTTTACTATTTATCTGATTCAAAATAGTTTAAATTCTTAATGTAAAGAGGGCTATTCATGGTTATGATGGACGCATTACCATATCTGCAAGGATGAAATATTCTATTTTGAACTACAGCAACCTCAATGTTATGCATATAGACTTTTTGAGTAGTAGCGTCTCCGCCCAGGAAGGAGCCATGGATTGTATCTTTCTTCACAGTAGTAAGTCAATGGATTCCATTTCTGGTGTGTTAGATATTTCTAACCGTAATAATTGCAAATGCATTATAAGGAGGGCAAAGTGCAGCACATGCAGAGTGAGGACTGCAGGAGACAGCAGTGTGGGTGCTTCAGTCATTCTCACCCTTCAGCAGTGGCATCGAGGTATCACCTTCGGGTTTGGAGGTAAAGAGAAAGCATGGCAGGGTCAGGACTAGGGGAGGAAACAAAAGATACAATCAACAGAACTCTGAACAACCTTTCATATACACCTAAGATGAATCACAAAGATGATTTGTTGTTTTCATCCTGGAAAATGCAATATGTGCCAAATTGTGCATTATAATGCAAATACAGACTCAAATACATGAACAAGCCAGATGCATGTTTGTCCGAAAATGTGCTATAGAGATGGCAAGATAATGTAGTTAACTGCAGTGACAGATTTGTTCGGAGTTGCCAACAGTTTGCATTCTTTTCATGCAGTCATTTTCAAACTCCAAATCACTAACAACTTGTTAATAATTCAATATTATACAATTAATGTTGAGAGCACAAATGTTTGCTGTAAATGAGACAAATTGCTGTCAATGCAGGAAGACATGAAACTGTGTAATAGACCGAAACAAGCAGATAAAAGACAAGTTAACTAAGCAGCAAAAATACTGAAACAGGCAGAAATATAATAGAGGTGAATGACAATGAAGAAGAAAAAAACACTTCATCAGTCATCAGTCAGATCAGCTGAGGAATAACAGCCTTCATATTTACATTGTGTGAGACAGATGGTGGTGGGAGCTCATATAATCAGCCGAGAGTTAATAAAACAAACATAAAATCAGCTCAGTGAGGGAGTTACTGAGATGATTACCAATGAGGCATCGCAGTAACTCCACACTGTAGTCACGCACACCTCCAGCTGATCAGAATCAGCTGACATACAAACACCAATCACAGTCATTACAGACAATGAGTCGTGCTTTATAATCTGACCAGCACTCGGCTCTGCTGGTAATGCTTTGCTGCTAACTGCTGCCCACTGACTGGACTGACTGATATTCTCTCATCTCCTCAAGTCCTTATTACCACACTTTGCGATCATATCTCTCATCTCGCGCGTTCTGTATATCCCATATCTCAGTGTTATGTGTCTGTTGGGTTCTGGGCTGTACAGCGCCGTGTGGGTTTTTGAGCTCCCTGCTGAATCATACACAGCTGCTGCTTGTAACCATTTATGGGATGAATGGTCTCCTTCCTACTCCGATATGATTCTCTGCAAGAATACCAAACATGCAGGAGAAGGCCATCTTTTCTTTCTTTAAGGCAAAAATAACACAGAGGGTTTTACAAGATTTCAATCAGCAAGTCCTTATCAGCACAGGTGTCCAGAGGATTGTATGTATCTGGAGCTTTCTAAATCATAATTGGTAAATTTGACTAGTCTAAAAAACAAAAGGAAATAGAGAGAAACAAGATAAGGCACTGTGCATTTTAATGCAGTTACACTATTTTCACCCATTTACATACTGAGAAATTAAATCCAGTTTTTCCTGGTGGATAAACTTTGGCTCCTAAGTTTCTGAATTCCATCATCCACTTGGGATTTTGTTTGGAGATCGATTTTGCTTAGACGCCCATTTTGACTGATAAATATTCAGTGTGTGAGGAAATTTTTTGTATTTCCTGCAGCATGAAGCAAGTACTGTCTGAGATTGTGATTACACTGGTCTGTGTTTGCTCAGGGGGGAACATTTACCCTCTGTTCTTTTAAGCTTGAACAATTAAACTCGCCCTTTGGCTTCAGGACCAGTGTGCATGTTTTAGCCACTTTAAATAAAATAATGGCTGTGAAATTACTTGGAAACATAAGCAAATGCTAATACAAGAATTAGGGCTGGGCGGTATACCGGTTCGTACCAATAACCGGTATTTATTTTCATTATGATATGAATTTTTCACATACCGCAATACCGGTGAATAGCCCAAACAACGTCCGGAACGTGCGGGGCGGGAAAGTGCTTCAGCGGGGACCCATTTCACCACTGCACACCACAGGCACGCTTGAGCGGGTAAGAGTGAGAGCATATAGAAAAGTTTAAAGGTGAGAATGGCTGCCGGAGAGAGTCCTGAAAGCAAAGCAACTGTACACGATGACCCAGAAGAACTCATACCAAAAAGAGCAGTGTTTCCCTTATATGCAACTAGCAGCGGCGCACCGCCATTTACAATTCTCCTCTGCCCTCTGTATCGCGCACGGCGCAGTTTTGCCCCGACGCACGCACACACACACACACACACACAAAGCGCACACATACAGGTGAGCACACTAGAGCATGGCTCGAGCCGCATTTTCCTGACCGAAGACGACCCGTCCCGAGTCCGAGACAGTTATAACCGAGCACAGCACTAATGGAGCGGCGCGTGTGTTGCGTTCAGGCGTTGTCAGGTAAATAACAAATTCTGGCACTTGAATAGGAGGCCATAGCACAATACAGCAGCATGTCAAGTTGGCCAAACCTGAGCAAAATACCGTGAAATACGGTGAAACCGATATCATTTTTTCTTAAAACCGTGATATGAAAATTTTGTCATACCGCCCAGCCCTAACAAGAATACATTGATGTCCTGAGCAGCAGCCTTGACAATCTGCTTCATGCATCTAGTTGATAGAGTTTTAAGTTCATGGACTTGATTTTTCATTAAGAAAAAAATCCTTTTAGTGGTGAGATGCACAACAACAGCAGCATTATGTACAATGTGGTGATAATGGAAATTCACTGGAGAAAGATTTAGTAGTGAAAATATGATAATTACTGTAAATATCTTCACATGTGTGTTAGGTAGCACTCTTTTTACTATGTTTGTCAAAACAAACATGGCAACTTAAAACCACTATGTATGAGGACTTATGTGATTATTGCATCTCTAAAAATATTGTGATTACATACATTGTTATTTTCAGTAAAAATTAAAGAATCATGATGTGAATTAGTGCAGTCTGTTTTGCTTTAGTCCATTTATCTTGGCATTCCTAGGATCCCAAGTTTCTACCACTGTCTTCGAAGTTCTACAAACAAAAGTACGACCAATATGGTCACGGTTAAAGGAAAAGATCACAGTCATGGTTAAAAAAAACAACAGTTGACTGGTGGTGGGAAACAAGGTGTGAACAGCAGTCTTCCGTGTCAAAATGACATTGCTTTCTAAAGTGGCGTTCATAAGGTTGGAGGTTCCGAGATCCTGACCATTAACTCGGGGGAAAAGTGCTTTGAACACGTGGTCGGTGCGGAATTTTTCGCTCGGAACGTCGTGTGGAAGTGTAGCAACCCGAGGACCCAGAGTTGACGTGGCATGACATTACAGCAATGGCGGCCCCCTTCGCTACCGGTGAGTCAAATAATTTTTCTTGGGTAAAAAAACGCATCTCAAAGAAGTCTTTAAGCAAATTCTCCACTGCTACATGTAATTTGTACATTCCGTGTATAATTATACTTAGAATTAGTAACATTGCCAACACCATACATTAGCAAAATGTCTTTGTCCTCTTCATTTAGCCAAAAAGGCTAACAACATCAGCCAAGCTCCATTGGGCTACAGATTTATGCGTTCTCGTTGAACACAACACAGGAGAGCGAAAATCTTCTTGCGGGCATGCAAGTTTGTTTGTTTATGTCCAAGGTCCGATGTGAGGCGATGAACGCACTTTTTCCAGAAGTAGGGGCTTTTCCGGGCTTTTCACATCAGGTCCTCGGAAACCTCCAAGCCCTCTGAACTTATGCCCAACATCCACCTCAACTTCCTCCCTACAACTACACTACACTACTTCCACCATTGGTCCTGTTTCCTGACAGAAAGAAATGAACACTGTTAAAACTATTATGTGCCTATAAAAGGGGTTAGGTGAATTAACTCCATAATTCACAGATTATCAATCGATTTGAATTAATGACAAGCATTTTCCTTTGAACGAACCTATCATGTCTAAACCATGTCTATAACCTTTTTTTCATAGTTTAACAACACACTCAGCTCCAGCTAATATACAAATCCAATCTTTTACAATTTCTGATATAACTGCAGTGAAACAATATAATATGACTCATCTCCATGAATTTTAAAATTATATTCTCTGTGTCTCATGGTAGTATGCTTTTCTCCTCCCATCATACACATGAACACAGAAGTTGCCAGTCAAGCTTCTAAAATGGGAATTGGGAGGCAGTAAGAGGAGCAATCGTTGAGTGTGCTTGAAAAGCAATGGGGAGACTTTAATTTGTTCTTTAACTCCTTGAATCTCCCTCGCTCCCTTTCTCAGCGTGAGCAGGTGTGCAGACTGGGAAAGGATAGATTCATTAGACGTTTCAGACTTGGGAGGTGGAACCCAGGGATGTAATTTGAAAGATTCGCCACAGTTTTAGTGTCTCTTTGACACCGCAGAGTAAGAATGCTCTTAGTATTCTGGGTGTTTCCATACAGCCTAGCCCCAGCACACTATGATAAGCAGGGCTGGAGAGAGTACGCTACTAGAATATTATACTCAATTACTGTTACTTCAAAGACATTTTACTCAAACACAAGTAAAACTGCTAAAAGCACTTAGATAAAAGTAAAAAGTAGGTCAGTTAAAATGTGCAGTGAAGTTACATTTTTTAAACAAGGAAAGAAGGTGGACGGTGTGTAAATAAGAAAATGTATAATGATAATGTCACATGAAAGACCTACTGAAGTAAAGTATGCATTTTTACCATAACATTAAATTTCATTATTATATCCATTTTATTAGGTACACCCTGCTAGTTCTGGGTCCGACCCTCTTTTGCCTTCAGAGCTGCCTTAATTCATTGTGGCACAGATTCAACAAGGTGCTGGAAACATTCCTCAAAGATTTTGGTCAATATTGACATGATGACATCATGTAGCTGCTGCGGATTTGTCGGCTGCACATCCATGATGAGAATCTCCCGTTCCACCACATCCCAAAGGTGCTCTATTGGATTGAGATCTGGTGACTGTGGAGGCCATTGGAGTACAGTGAACTCATTGTCATGTTCAACAAACCAGTTTGAGATGATTTGAGCTTTGTGGCATGGTGCGTTATCCTGCTGGAAGTAGCCATCAGAAGATGGGTACACTGTGGTCATAAAGGGATGGACACGGTCAGCAACAATACTCAGGTAGGCTGTGGTGTTTAAACCATGCTCAGTTGGTATTAAGGGGCCCAAAGTGTGCCAAGAAAATCTCCCCCACACCATTACACCACCACTACCAGCCTGAACCGTTGATACAAGGCAGGATGGATCCATGCTTTCATGTTGTTTACGCCAAATTATGACCCTAGCATCTGAATGTTGCAGCAGAAATCGAGACTCATCAGACCAGGCAACATTTTTGGTGAGCCCATGCGAATTGTAGCTTCAGTTTCCTGTTCTTAACCGACAGGAGTGGCACCTGGTGTCGTCTTCTGCTGCTGTAGCCCATCTGCTTCAAGGTTGGATGCGTTGTTCCTTCAGAGATGGTCTTCTGCAGACCAAACCAGTGGTTATTTGACTTCCTGTTGCCTTTCTATCATCTTGAACCAGTCTGGCCATTCTCCCCTGACATCTGGCATCAACAAGGCATTTTCGGACCATCCTCTGTAAACGCTAGAGATGGCTGTATGTGAAAATCCCAGTAGAGCAGTAGTTTCTGAAATACTCAGACCAGCCCATCTGGCACCAACAACCACACCACATTCAAACTCACTTAAATCACCTTTGTTCCCCATTTTGATGCGCGGCTTCAACTTCAGCAGGCCGTCATGACCATGTCTAGACGCCTAAATGCATTAAGTTGCTGCCACGTGATTGGCTGATTAGCTATTTGCATTAATGAGCAGTTGTAGGTGTACCTAATAAAGTGGCCAATACATATATTACTTTACATACTGCTGCACAGCTTGTGCATTTTCCCCTAGGGACCAATAAAGCCTTAGTGATTTCAGTCAATTTACTTATTGAATTTTGTATTGTATTCTGTTGTCACAAAGTACTTTAAGTACTATACATTTGTTCTAAAGTAGGCTACAGAACTTGAGTAAATGTAGGCTAACGTTACCTGTTTTCACCACTGCATATCCATATCATACAACAGAGCCCTTTGCGTCCAAACAAACAATTAATTTTCTTTCTGAGGCACTTTGCAGCTTGTGAATAAGCTAGTTAACTTACCAATTACACAGCCGTCTTGTTCAGTTTCGTCTGACCACAATGATGCAGCCACAAACATACGTTACACAACGGCGCAAAAAGACAACTGCGCACTTTTAAAATAGCACACGCGCACCCAACGCTACCTTAAAAGGCAGCGTTGACGTAATAAACAACCGTCACAGTTAGCTTGTTGTCGCACTCAACTGTGTGAACGTCACTCTCCTCCTCAGTCTGCTTCAGGTTCGTCCACTCTGCTTTTCTGTCCCAGTATTACCAGTCCACTGAGTGCCCCTCCCAGTATTACCAGTCCACTCTGTCCCTCACAAAGGCCTCACGCGCCTCATTAAAATTCCCTCAGTGAAAGCTGGTATCACAGCTATATGATTGCAGCTATACCCAGCATGCACCTGTCAGGTGTGTTTGATTTGGGTCACTCAGCATGCTGGCAGGGTGCTGAATTATATCACTGATTACTGTAATTATGGTAGATGCAACCTTTTGCTCTTTTTAAACTATGCTGAGGTGCAATAATGTGAATCTTAACTCATGATAATTCTGCTTTACATTGCATTGTTTTACTTATACAGAGTAAAACAATGCAAAACAATGTAAAACAGCTGGACCCTAACTTTATCAGGACTTGTTTTACTTTTCATTTTACTCAGTAAGATAAAGAAAGTAGCAAATCTTACAGGGCAGTAATGATAATATTTACCTAATATTCAAACTTATTGCTAAGAAAAATAAAAATATTTTAATTGCTGTGGGTACAATCAATGACGAACACTGTACTGTGTCTTTATTTCATCACTTTCCAATCTATTTTAAGACTGTACCAATAATTACACCTCACCTCCGTCAGGACATGCATCAAAGGTAACATTAATGTCAATACATTATTTTGGGCTGGAAATGTAATTGTGAAAATAAATGATATTTTGCCAAGGTGTCAGACCCGCTGGCACATTTGGCTACGGCCTTGAATAATGGAGGTTAAGCATATTTGAGGACAGTAAAATTATTCCAAAAAAAAGTACAAGTACAGTAAATGTCATTTGTTACTTCCACCCCTGGTGTTTTGGGGTGAATTTGAGGAATTGCTTTATAAATTCACTTCATGTAGTTTTAGGTTCTGGAACAAAGACCACGCCTCAAATGCATCCCATTTATCGCCCAAAAGTATTTAAGCACACCTGATGCATTCTCTTTCTCTTCGACACATTTCTCACATCCCACCCACCCAATACCTTCTCGCTTCTTACATCTTTTTCTCTGCTCCTTTCTGCATCCAGGAACCAGTGGGGGCTCTATCCCAAGCTGAATCCGAGCTCACGAAGAGACAACTCCCCCACTCAGTATCACTCCCGGGATCCCTCCTGGTTTCTCGCCTTCGACCCAACACATCCATCATCGTGCTCGCTTGCTACTCAGAAACCCAGCCTTCATCCCTCAACCCTCAGTCTTCCCTCTCTTCATCCATCATCCCTTCATTCCTCACTCTTCATCCCTTAATCCTTACCCTGTCATCCCTAACCTTTCATCCATCAGGCCCTTGACCCTCATCCCCTCATCCCTTCATTCCTCACTCTTCATCCCTTGATCCTTACCCTGTCATCCCTAACCTTTCATCCATCTGGCCCTTGACCCTCACCCCTTCATCCCTTCATCCCTCAACCCTTCATTCCTCACTCTTCATCCCTTGATCTTTACCCTGTCATCCCTAATCATTCATCCATCTGGCCCTTGACCCTCATCCCCTCACCCCTACATCCCTCACCCCTTCATTCCTCACTCTTCATCCCTTGATCCTTACCCTGTCATCCCTAAACTTTCATCCATCTGGCCCTTAACCCCCATCCTCTCATCCCTACATCCCTCACCCCTTAATTCCTCACTCTTCGTCCCTTGATCTTTACCCTGTCATCCCTAACCGTTCATCCATCTGGCCCTTGACCCTCACCCCTTCATCCCTTCATCCTTTAACCCTTAATTCCTCACTCTTCATCCCTTGATCCATACCCTGTCATCCCTAACCTTTCATCCATCTGGCCCTTGACCCTCATTGCTTCATCCCTTATCCCTTCATTCCTCACTCTTCATCCCTTGATCCTTATCCTGTCATCCCTAATCATTCATCCATTCGACCCTCGACCCTCATCCCTTCATTCTCATCCTTTCATTCTCTCATTCCTCCATCCTCACCCCTTCACGCTTTCCTCCGAACCCATAATCCATCATACGCAATAAACCATTCGAAATCTTTACCTTATTGGTGTGGTCTTTGTTAGTGAATAAACTGATACTTCCACCAGACCAACCAACCATGCAGGACACATGATGTCAAAGTGTCAATGTTATACAAACATAGTGATATTTGATAGTGTCATCTCATTTGCTAATACATGGTGTGGTCCTACCATACATAATGTATCAAGTACAATTATACCACAAGGCAGAAAACCCAACACCCCAGAGGAAGAGAACCGTGTCCTGTTACATCTTGGAGATGCTTTTTCTGTGCTTACTTGTAATCGTCAACATGTAAGACTTGTTTTGTAAAATGTAAAATCTGAAATACTACATGTGCTAACAGAGTATGTGAATTAATCATATGTGACATGTTAAGTTCATGTGAAAATACAGCCTATGGGAAACTGATGTTTTCACTTTTGATGTGTTAAACTCAGAGGAGAATTTCCAGAGTTTTCTCTGTGGGAAAATGTCTGAAAAACACATGCTATGTATCAAAATCATAACCCTCATTACTTAATTTAAACAGAACATGATAGTTAAATGAATACCATGTACTGTATTTGATTCTTGATCCTCTTTGACGTCAGAATATCAAGTTTTTCTTCATACATTTACTTTGACGATGCTGTAAGAAATGTGAGATAATAATGAATGCAATAACACAACACAGGTCAGAGGTCAGGTTCAGTAAAAAAGACGTGTTTTGTCAAATGATACTTGTTGTGATGGAGGCTTAAAGCCCGATCCATCCATTCAAGGGCAGTGTGGCTAATCACTACACCACCATGCTGCTCCAACCCAAGGGAACAGGCACGTGTCTGAGGTCTGTTACTTCTTGTTTAGCTCTTGTTTATCTCTCGGCAGCGTGGAAGGCCTGCAGACCAGGATTAACACCAAACTCTGCATTAATGGCAAATAATAAGCTCAATAAGGTGGGCTGCTGGTGATTTACGCAAGAGAGATTCATAGAGATCCATCCATTATAATGATGTGTGTGGAGAAACAAAAGGAAAGTGATGGAGAGGGAGAGCGTAAAACAGACGCGGTCGCAGATTAAATGTGGCTCACTTCCACACTGTGCAAAATATTCCTGCATGAGAATTTATGATTAATGTACCCAGTCTGCTCCCAGTCTGCTTCCTGTGTCGTATATTACAAATGGGCTTTAAGAGATCGCAGATATATCTATAAAGCATCATAAATGATGATGCTGCCACCGGGGAAAAGCCTTTCCCTCTATATTCATAAGCCATTGTTTGCTGGCTACTGTGATTAAACAGGCTATTATTTGATAATGGAGATATCAAATAAATGGCAATTTTATGTATTGTTCCACAATACAGTATAGCATATGAAGAGCGGATGTAGTGGTGTTACATGTGTGGGTGGTATGTGTCCACCCATAGTAGTAAACAAAAGTCAGTGAATATGTCTATAAAAGCTTGTCAGGTATTTTCTGTATTGCTTTGAAGAGCTGTAAAACTGTGGACAGGTTAAGAGCTGTGTTACTAATAGAGGGGTATGATCACCGTCACAACATTGTAATCTTTTCAGTCAAGTCAAATTTATTAGTATGTTTTACCAAGCACATTTTCAGGTTTTTATACAATACAAATAACAAATACAAGAAAGGTACAAGCAATGGAGTGTCCACAGGCTGGTTTATAGCTCCCAAACTTTGTGAGTAACTTTGTCAAGAAGACATTTTTTGTCACGTAGGTACACTGAGGTCAAGAGGCCCAAAGACAGGAGTGGATTACAAAAAGGTGTTTTCAGTGTTAGACCCCCAGAATTTTTTTTTATTTATTTTTTTTCAGTATCCTGTCTCCTAATGGACTCACTGAGGATTCTTCCACTCGCCTATGTGGAAAGCCTAAGGCAGAGAGAACACATCTCTCCAGCCTTCTGCGTGCCTACATGGAAAGTCTGAGGCAGAGAGAGCACACCTATCTGCCCTTCCATGCGCGAACGAGAAAGCCTGAGGCAGAGAGAGCACACCTCCCTGCCCTTCCATGTGCGAACGAGAAAGCCTGACGCAGAGAGAGCAAACCTCCCTGCCCTTCCACGTGTCTACATGGAAAGCCTAAAGCAGAGAGAGAGCAGCAGAACAGAACAGAGCAGCATCAATGACAAACAGAAATGGCATTGATAAGTCAGACACAACATGAAAAGGAGGGGCTGGGGTGGAGGTGGGTTGCAAAACGGCTTGCAGAGGAAGCAGCGACAGTAGGCAGGCCAGAGCAGTTTAAATAGGGCGCCCTGAATGAGTTTCACCAATTGGTTGCATAGAAAGGAATCATGTGATCTATCAGCTGACTCCCTTCCATCAGTCAGCTGCTCCATCAGTTGATTGGGCTGTTTGAGATCAGCTGATGTAGCTGGGATGTGAGCTGAGCTTGTCATTGTGTCCTGCCTGAACTGCACTTATTCAAAGAGTTTAATTAGTTGATCATCAGCATAATGTAGTATATTTTGTGCTTGTATACACCTTGCACTTTGTCATGTTGGTCATTTGCCTGATGAGTTGAAACATCGTATATTAATACTACTCAAGCTAATAGAAGACTGAATCTCTGAATTTGATGTGCATACAACTACCATACTACCATGCTCCAGATTCCTCTATTTGTATAATCTCCCCTTTCCTGCACTGCACCAAAACCCTGAGAATCCAGAGATATCTTTTTTTATTCTTGTAAGACTCATCTGGAGCATGTGTGGGGATTTTTTGATATGCTTTATGCACTGCAAACCCACAGTATATAGTATAAACACTTGTGTGTTTTTTACCTGCACCTTTATAAGCCTACTGTTGGTCCTGCAGGACAGACGAGGCCAAGAACAGTTCTGTGACCCAATTTTGCCTCACTTTGGCTCCCTTGTGGAATACTAAGTGAGAATGGGAGCTGAAATGACAAAGCTCAGTTTCAACAGTATGGGTGGCAGATTTTTTAGCAGACCAGTTAGAGAGAGAGAGGGAGAGAGGGAGGGAGAGAAAGTGGAATGAAAAAGAGGGAGACTGGAGATTCAGGTTCCTCCTCTCATCCCAGAAATAGCAGGCATTTGATTGCT